ATATATATATATGTATATGTATGTATATATATATATATATGTATATGTATATATGTATATGTATATGTATGTATATATCATTGTTCATTTAAGAAGTGTAATCCATACAAATTGATTTGAGTTCTTAAAGGAACCATAAAGGATTCCATGCAAAATGATAAGTTAAGCCTATCGATTTTTGAGGCACCCAAGGTCAAATGGGTACCTAAAAATCATCCTCTTTTGTAGAAATGTATACCATCACAAGCTAGGAGCAAGAGATGGTACTTTGATAGTGGATGCTCAAGGCATATAACCGGAGATCCATCTCAATTCTCTAAGCTCACTAGCCTAGATGAAGGATATGTCACCTTCAGAGACAACAAGGGTAAAATCATTGGCAAAGGAACTATAAGTAACACATCCAACTTTTTTATTGAAGATGTGTTGTTAGTTGATGGCTTAAAGCATAACCTTTTGAGTATTAATCAATTGTATGATAAAGGATATATTGTTAGATTTGAATCTAATGCTTGTATTATAGAAAAATCACATAAAAATACATCTATGATTGCTCTAAAATAAAATAATGTATCCACTATCGACATTTATGATCTTTCTAATGAAATATGTTTTTCAGTTTTAAATGACGATGCTTGGCTTTGGCATAGGAGATTAGGTCATGCTAGCATAAAACTAATCTCTCAAATTTCATCTAAAAAACTTGTATGAGGAATTCCTCATATCAAGTTCGTCAAAGATAATGTGTGTGATGCATGTCAACTAGGAAAACAAATAAAAGGTAGCTTCAAACCTAAGAACCAAATAAGCACCTCTATACCTTTATAATTGATTCATATGGACTTGTTCGGACCAATTTCTACATCAAGCCTAGGAGGTAGCAAATACGCATTTATCATCATGGATGATTATAGTAGATACACATGGACTTATTTTTTGACACACAAAAGTGATTGCTTTAGGTATTTCTCCAAGTTTTGTAAACTTGTTCAAAATCGAAAGGGTTTTATGATTTCGTCAATTCGAAGTGATCATGGTGGTGAATTTCAAAACCGTGATTTTCAAGAATTTTGTGAATCTAATGGATACAACCATAACTTCTCTACTCCAAGAAATCCTCAACAAAATATAGTAGTAGAAAGAAAGAATAGAAATTTATAAGAAATGACAAGAACCATGTTAAACGAACATAACCTACCCAAATATTTTTGGGCCGAAGCTATAAACACGGTATGCTATGTCATGAATAGAGTTCTAATAAGACCCTTACTCACCAAAACTCCTTATGAGTTATGGAACAACAAAAAACCCAATGTTTCATATTTTAAAGATTTTGGGTGTAAGTGTTTTATCTTGAATGAAAAAGATGCCTGAGGAGAATTTGATACTAAATCCGATGAAGGAATTTTTTTTGGCTATTCTTCTATTTCTAAAGCATTTCATATCTTTAATAAAAGAACTTTGATTATAGAAGAATATTCATGTTGTTTTTAATAAAGTTATCGAAGTTAAGATAAATGATTTTGATGATGATGTTAATTTTGATGCCTTGAATTTAAATGAAACCCTTTCTCTATCTAGCAACTTGGATGTATCTACTTCCGAAATATCCTTACCCAAGAATTAGAAGTATGTAGATGCTCATCCTCTGGAGCTAATCATAGGAGACACATCTGAAGGGGTTCAAACTCATTCCTCTCTTAAGAATTTTTTGTGCAAACGTCGCTTTTCTCTCCCAAGTTGAACCTAAATGCATTGACGAGGCCTTGAAAGATGATTTATGGGTTATTACAATGCAAGATGAGTTAAATCAATTTGAGAGAAATGTGGTATAGAAGCTTATTCCGAGGCCAAATGACTATTTAGTTATTAGTACTAAATGGGTCTTTAGAAACAAGCAAGATGAATTTGGTATCGTGGTTAGAAACAATGCTAGATTAGTGACCAAAGGTTTCAACCAAGAAAAAAGGTATTGATTACTATGAAACCTTCGCTCCTATAGCTCGATTAGAAGCCATAAGGGTGCTCCTTGCCTATACTAATAGTAATAATTTTAAATTATTTCAAATGGATGTTAAAAGTGTTTTTCTTAATAGTTTTATTTCCGAAGAAGTTTACGTTGAACAACCACCCATATTTGAGAATGATGATTTCCCTAATCATATGTTTAAATTACCTAAAGCTCTCGATGGATTGAAACAAGCCCCAAGGTCTTGGTATGAGGGACTTAGCTCATTTCTAATTTATAATAATTTCTCTAAAGGCAAGGTTGATACTATATTATTTATTAAAAAAATTAAAAATAATTTTCTTATTGCTCAAATTTTTATTGATGATATTATGAGTCTTGAATTTAAAATGAGTTTGATGGGGGAATTAACTTTCTTTTTAGGCTTACAAATCAAACAACTAAGTAGTGGTATTTTTCTTAGTCAAACAAAATATGCTTTAGATTTGCTAAAAAGGTTTAATATGGATAGCTCAAAGGCTATCAATACTCCCATGAGTATCTTCACTAAGTTAGACATTGATGAAAGTAGAGAAAGCTTTGATCAAAAAGCTTATAGGGGTATGATAGGAAGTTTACTATACCTCACCACAATTAGACCAAATATCATGTTTAGTGTAGGTCTTTGTGCTAGGTTTCAATCTAATCCTAAGATATCTCATCTTAAAGTAGTTAAGAGAATTCTTAGATATCTTAAAGATATCACAAATCTAGGATTATGGTATCCAAAATTCGAGAACTTTAAACTAATTACATATGCTGATACGGACTTTGTTGGATGTAGATTAGATAGAAAAAGCACATTCGGAACATGTTAATTTTTAAGACACGCACCTGTTTCTTGGCCTTCCAAGAAACAAAACTCAGTTGCACTATCTACAGCCGAAACTGAGTATATTACAGCTAGTGCATGTTGTGCACAAGTTGTGTGGATGAAAAACACTTTAGAGGATTATAAGATTCATCTTAAAAACATTCTCATAAAATGTGATAACACAAGTACAATATGTTTAACAAAAAATCTCATTCAACACTCTAGAACTAAATATATTGATATTAGGCATCACTTTATATAAGATTATATTAATAATCATGATGTAATCTTAGAGTTTATTGATACGAAACATTAATTAACCGATATCTTTACAAAACCTTTAAGTGAAGAACACTATGATTTTATTAGAAGAGAGTTAGGAATGTTAATTTGTCCAAATGCATGAATTTGATGTATATCTTTTCCATATTATCTTTTTGTATCTCATAAATGGAGCTTTCATGAACTTATTTCGTTTTTATGTTCCTTGGTATCAAGTTTACTTCATACCCTTGCTCCATCA